AGCAAAGTCTGTCTAGTATGATTTCCCACTGGAAAATCGCACCTGAACATTACTTCGTCCATATTGCTATGGAAGCGATAATTTTTGGTGAGTCGTGAGAACGTTAATTTGCTGGCACTCTACGAATCGCAGCAACGACAGCGAATGACAATGTGAACGCTGTAAGAGTGAACTGATCAACGTCATTGCGTTGCGATTTAAATACACCCTTAATTTTGCTTCCGTTTCCTAAGCTTGACTTACATGTCCATAACTGTTTCTGGGAAATATTTCAGACGTTTCAGAGGTCACTTCTAATTCTCAAGTGCCAATGGAAGCGCCGTAAGTCTCCATTATACTTTAGTACATACTATAGTTGTAGTTGTTGTAGGCAACCAAGTCTATCCCGAAAGCGATTCACAACTAAAATGCAATTTTTGCTAACAGTGACCTCGAGGCAAATGCTTCTTCGTCAGGAAAATTTGATGCAGGAAAGCACCTGAGGAGCGCTGTCTGGTATTTCTTTACAAGGTCTACCGAAGTTGTGGGAACCTCAAAATGCACTATCTGCTCTGATGTTGTGAAGCATGCAAATAACACGTCAAATCTATTAAAGGTATTGTCCACTGAAGTTTGAAGGGCTTTTCAATATTTTATCATAAATCGAAGATTACTCCTTTTTTTATAGGATTTGAAATTAAAACAACCGGCTCAGCACAAAGAAGCTGAAAACCAGAGGAAAAAGGAGGAAAAAAAAGCATCCAAAAGGCGTAAGACCGCTGACAACCTGCGGTAGCGTACCATATTGGAGATGGCACAAACTTGGCAAAAGTATTTGCAGACATGCGCACGAAGCAAGAACATTGATCAGGGCCTTATAAGAATGATTGCAATAGACATGCAATCAGCAACCATTGTAGAGGACACCGGATTTCAGTCGCTGATGCGTTTGCTTGATTCTCGGTACCAGCTGCCCTCCAGAAGACACATAATAAGAAGTTTGCTACCGTGCCGGGGAGATAAAGCGGGAACTTCTGCAGATTTCTCACGTAGCTCTGACTAGTGACCTGTGGACATCAAGAACAACAAAAAGTTATCTTACTATCACCTGCTACTTTGTTACTTCCACATGAGAACTCAAGTCCCTGGTTCTAGAGACGTTTGGGTTCAAAAACGACCACACGGCTGAGAACATAGCGGCGTCATTCCAAAAAATTGCGGAAGAATGGGGAATTTCCCGAGAAGTTGTTGCGATGGTTACTGACAATGCTGCCAACGTTGTTGCCGCCGTCAGACACACTGGTTGGACACATGTCCCTTTCTTTGCACACACCCTGAATCTAGCAGTTTCTGAGGCAATTAAGGCTGACACAAAGATCCATCAGCTTAGAAAGAGCTGCAGGGACATTGTGAGCTTTTTCCACCGCAGCGTTAAGGCCTCAGAAAATCTGAAGGAGATACAACTGCAGCTGGGAATTCCTGAGAACAAACTCATCCAAGAAGTGGAAACCAGATGGAACTCAACTTACCACATGTTTGAACGCATCACGGAGGAACATCAAGCCATCACCACAGCACTTTGTCTCTCTGGTCGTAGTGCAATGTGTCTTTCATCTTCTGATGTGAGCCTGCTGAAAGCTGCCATGGCCGTTTTGAAACCCTTTGAGGCAACGACCAAAGAGATATCTGCGGACAAGCATATCTCCATTTCTTAGGTGATACCTCTGGAGAAATCACTATAGCGTTTGACTGGTGCGATTACAGAAAAGGACACACCCCTGGTTTCCAACCTTA